GTTGAACTATTAACTTAGAATATCCTCTGTTATAATAGTTTTGATAGGAAACAATATCAACAACAGTAAACATCAGAGAATAACTAAATCTACTCACATGTAGTGTGAATTGTATTAAACAGTCTATTTTCGATAGAAATACACTTTTCACAACCAAAATGATCAAAGGCAACCTCGAACTTCGAGGGGGAGGGCGATTTCGCTTTTTAACCACCTTCGTTCTTTAGTCTAATGTGGCATTGATATTTGTCCATCTGAATAATTGGTTAATCTCAAAATATTGATATAAATACATTCCAATATAGGATTTTGGGTAAAATATCCCAGTTGTACTCGAATTGTTCAAGCATATGATGATCAGAATGAATATCTTCACATTCTATGCGAATATGCAACAATCGGCTTACTGATCTCTTATTTCAATAAAGATAAATCAACTACATTTCTCAATTTACGTACAAACAATGCAAATCTTGACACAATTATCAAAGAAAAATTTTTATCAATTGATATTCCTTTGCCATCTACTTCGGATTTAACAACACAAAATGAAATAAGCCATTTTGCACAAGATATTCGACAAATCGAACAAAAAAAGCAATCTCTACCTATTTTAATAATAATTGAACAGCGACGCATTCGTTTGTTTGGTTTAGCTGATATTGTCAAAGAAACGGAAAAACAATTAGAAACAATCAAGACAAAATACGCATCAAATACAGTCAACCTCAATTTAGAACCAAGACAAGTGAGAAGTAGTTCTTGAGAAAAGAAAAAGAAATTTTTAGTTTTCTGTAGATTACATACCTCTTCAATGTTTATTATGATGAATTGAAATTACTTGAAGCTCATTATGATGATACAAAAATCCTTGATAATTTAAAAAATGGAGAATTTACAGCTCCAAGTTATTCACATGAAAAAATAGAGCAAGAAATCATGACATTAGCTACATTATGTTCACCAATTGATATGAAAATTGAAGAGCAAGCTTTCAGTACAATAGCACATGACGGATGTTATAATCTTATAAATATTGCTCGTCAACACAAATGTCTGATCGAAATACAAGAGAGCAATACCAATTATATTTGTAAAATACCCAAAGCCTCAAAGCACGATCACATTTCGAATGAATTATCAGCAGCAGTTATTGAAATACACCAGAATGATCTTGCTGATCAGAGGGTATCAATAATAAGGCTAGGATAAGAAGGAATATACATATTTTTCTGGAGACTTTTTCAGGTCGACCTGGTTGTTATTTGTTCCACATCGATATCTTTGCGAGACGATATTCTCAAAAAAGCCGGTCAATCAGTGGAACAAGAATATTTTGAAGCCGCAATGACATCACCGATGGAACCTTTCGAAACAAATGCGGGACAATTACAATGTCGAAAACTTTTGTTTTTACCTTGGGAAATGGATCGAACAAATGAAGAAGCTTTTTATCAATCAATTCGAAATTTGGTTCGTAAAGCTGTTCAACATGCTATTAAGGCACATTATACTTCAATCGTATTTCCATCAATTAGTTATGGAAAATTCAATGTTGATAAAAATATCATTGCAAATCAAATGTTAGTTGAAGCTCAAAAACAATTATTAGCAGCTAATGTCTTATTGCAAATAATCTTTGTTATTTTACCCGAGCAAAGTGATGTATTTGAAGCGTTTCAAGCAAAACTCGAAAGTTTACAAAACGGAGAAGTAGAAACGAAGGATACTGAAATTCTCTATTGTTCTACAAGTAAATATCAACTAAAATTGTCTTTTTTTTAAAGTTTTTTTGGTTATTTATTTAGCACTTGAAATAACAATCCTATCATCGAATAGAGAGAAGCAAGAAGAATGTAAGAAAGCTTTGAATGATCATGTGCAGAAATCAATTTTAGTTAGGAAAATGTTACAACAACACGTATTAAAAAGATGGACACAACCAGCTATCACTGACTTCTATAAGTATTGCCTGGATCGACATGTAATACCTGATATAGATATTCTTATGGGTCATGTTAAATTATCCGGTCCAAAAGAAGCAACAAAAGAATGTGAAATTGAATACTATAGAGAGCAAACAAAACAAAGTGAACAAGCACGTTTACTGGCTATTGCACGAAATATAATTTGGGCATATAAATTAAATGATACCAACACTGAAAAATATTCACTTAAATTCAACGCTCATATCGAAGAATCATTTTCATCTGGAGTACCATCTGTAAGTGCAGATATAATCATGTAAGAAAATATTTCGTTTGAGCATTATTGATACAGAACTTTATCGCCCTGTAGTGGATCAAAAATATTCATTGATCATTTCCTTATCGTTCTTTTTGTTGTTGTTATTATAAATAATCACTTAGTTATGATCTGGAGGACTCCGGTCGAAAAACTGCCACAAATAATTGAGTCTTCAAAGCAGGAATACTACATTCCTATCCAGTGATTGACAATGCTTGGTTATAGCAGCATTAGAAATGTCGGTCGCTGGATGCGAATGCCATATTCTTCCTTTTAAGATTCTATCGCTTTCTCGAGATTTTACACAGAACCTGATCACTACAGCATTCACCTGCTCTTTTATCGCAGATTTCAATCATTCAATCAGTGTTACTTTTGCCATTGTATAGTACTTATCAAGGTTGCTAAAGAGTGCAAA